TCGTTACGTATTGCTGTGACTAGTATTAAAGAGTTGAGTGTTTGGGTGAGGTGGACCGGAATGAGCGATACATTTGTTGTTGCTGTATAGGCAGAGGGGTGTGGAAAAAAGGGGATGATGGAGTGGGATGTGCACGTGTGAAGGAAAAAAGAAAAAAATATGCTGGTCATTTTTTGACGGTGCAAAATTAAAGGGTTTTACTATCTTTAGAAAAAAAGTTTAATTTGCTAAAATGAAGCTTTTGCAACAAAATTGTAATGTTTATAATTTTATTGTTGTTTATATTAAATTTAATATACTGTAGTTAACAATTGGCAAAAATTCGAGAATATGTTGGATTTTAGTAATTTTTTCTCAAAATTTTATGTTTTTGCAAAAAATGCGAAAAAAACTGAAAAATTTTGTAAAAGTCTCAAAAAATCATATTTTGTAAGAATATGTACCAAATTTATAATACATTAATTGTGTTTTAACCTGCGGCTTCGCTCTCGCGAATATCTAAAAATAATGAAGTTAAGCTTTCGTCTGCGTCTGTAGTCACAGAAGAAGTAAATAAATGAAGTAGAATGGCGGGAAGTTTAAAATGGCTTTTCGAAAAGTATAGTCTATGGAAGTAGTGTACAGTCTCCATAGTGTAGTCAATTGACTTGATGTTGACGTAGCTGTCGGTAATACAGCAGTGATAATACAGTGTGATGGTACCGTGTACTTAGGTTTGAGCTTCCATTGTTGGAATGCTAGATGCATGTTAAAGTAGTCAAATAGCCATAGATGCAGAGGTGCTTATTGGCTAAATCCATTTCTTTTATTTTTATTTAAAAATATTTTTTTATTAAAAATGAAAAGTGGCCTATAAACTATCTGGGGACCACTAAGAATATGTGTACAAATTTTCTCATGATGATCGGTTATAGTTTTGCGTGAAAGTGTAACAAACATCAGGACTTTCTGCATTTTATAATATTAGCAGGATTTGTGGAACCACGAAAAAGTCATTGATTCACGCAGAAAGTAGCAAAAAAATATTGAATTTTGTCAAAAAAGCGTAATTTTGCTAAATTTTTGCAAAAAAACGCAAAAAAACGTTTTTTTCTTCAAATCTAACCCAAAACTTCCATAAAACTAAAAAACCCTTCCAAGATATTATACCCTAAATGTCTTAAACGTGTTGTGGCAGCGGAAATTGCCCCCGTTCACAAATTTTTAATCGACATTTGAGTTTCACAACTGCGCAAACAGCAAAAGACGGCGACGTGATTCGAATGTTTTAACATTTCCGCAATGCAAATACAAAATGCATTACCCGATTCAGATTTACATGAACAATGCAGTTATTGCGCGCGCAAGCAACACACATAAAAGTAAAACTTTAAAAACTTCATTAATTCTTATCGCGATGGTTTTCTCGCGCTTGCAGTATACTTTTATTGCGCTTTTTTGCATCGTCGATTGCTTTTTTAAATATATTTTCCTTTTTTGTAAATGGTATGTATTCAGGACACTCGTAACGGTAAGTTTAGTCATGGTTCAATATTGAATCGGCTTGCTCGACTGATTCGCTTTCTTTATATTGGCTTCCAGTGTGTTTGCCAGCCGGAAAAAATAAAAATAAAGCAAGAGGACAAAACAAGTCGTTTGGTATCGCGCTCACGAATAGCAAATAACGCAAGCGCAAGACGAGACCTTCTTAATCGTTCTAATTCCTGAGTCCGGAGCTAAAGAAAACCACAGAAGCACAGGAGTTTTGCTGACGTGCGTTTGTTTATGTGTATGTACTGGTTGGAAATGGTGGAAACAATCAATGTGCGGTCGAGAGCTTAAAATTCCGGACGGCGTTTCGTTGATTTTCGCCTAAATGGATCTTAATTAAAAATCGCTGATGGCAACGTGACGTGACTCAACTCACATAAATCACTAGTGATTTATTTTCGCGCGGAAAAAAATTAAATTTATTTGATTTCATTATGTTTGCAAATATAATTTACAAAGTGTAACTTTTGCGGCTTGATTTGAAAGTTGGTAAAACGTCGAAAATCGTAAGCAAATGGAAAATAAGGTAGCCCAAAATTTAATTACAGAAACCGACGTGAATTTCTGTTTAACTTTGCGGAACTTAATTTTGCGGGAAGCCATTAATACTTTAATAACTTATAAATGCCTAAAACGTATGTCAAACAAAAGATTTTTTATATTAATAATTATATTCCACAAAGTTTGACATAAAAAAATATATATTTCAAGTAATTTCCCGGCGCCTCCACATAATGTTCCCTATGTTATTTTTATAAAAAAGTTATTTTACTACTTTCCGAGTTATTATAATGAATAAAATTATTTTCACTTACCATAGAGTCTTAATGTACCTTCTGCTTTCCCTAGAGAATTAGTAGAGACACAATTGTACGTTCCAATGTCCTGCGTAGCAAATGATCGAATAATGAGCCACATCAGCACTTTATATCCACTTCGCTCCTCTCTAATAGTATATTTACTTCTGAAACACATAAAAATATCCAAAATATAATATTATTATTTGAATAGAAAGTTTTTATTAGTTTAATACATTTATACGTGTCAAAATCCCGGCGCCTCCACCGTATTAAACGCTTTAAAACGTTCGGCGTGTTTAGTTTAAACTTTTTATTAAATTATATTTATTTTACTATTCCCAGACGGGCAACCAGCGCCGAAATTTGAAAGTTTCTATGCACGCGGCCATTTTGGTTGCACGTAATCCGTAAATTAATTTTTCAACTAACTTTGAAAAACATAATAAAAGAAGATTAAATTTCGTCTTAACTCACATACCATTAAACGAACACCAGGCCCCCAATGGAGAGAAGAAAAAGTTTCGCACGCCAAGTTGTGATGAGCACGGACGGAAAAGTTTCGCGATGAAAACGAAAATGTGAAATTCCAATATAATAAACGACAATTAATAATTTCGACTGGGTTATTATGCGCGTGGCAAAAGTTATAAATCATCAGCGCGCGGATTTGAGCGACGCTGGATCTGATGCTGTCGTCGCCTTTTCAGTCGGGATGTTTTCTGCGAGGGGAAAAAGCTTAAAGCTCGTTGTGCGTAACGAAGCGCGCCGACGACTCATAAATTATTTATTCGATAATGATCAGTCGCACGCTCATCTCGCTCAACTCATCAACACTAATTAACTCTACACTTGTTTAAATTTAGAATATATAATAGAATACAAAAAAATATATTGATTTGCCAAAAATGAAAAAAAAATGAGATTTTGATGATTTTTTTGTAAAAATTTTTTCGTCTTTTGAAATTTTTGTAATTTTTTTTTCTGGTTTTTGATAAAATTAATTATAATTTTGCTTGTTTTGGTCAAAAATCAAGTTTTTGTCAATATTTTGCTTAAAATTTATAACATTTTAAAATATTTTTATGTTTTGGAATAAATTTTATTTGATTTAGCAAAAAAAGCAATTTTTGCCAAAAAACCATTTTTTTTCTGTATTTTCTGCCAAAATCCATATTTTAAAAAAATATCATTAAGTTTATCACTAAATATAACAATAATTTGCAAAACATGTAATATTAATGTTTGTTTTGAAAAATTATTTGCAATTTTGCTAAATTTGAGCAAAAATCTAAAAAATTTTTTGCAAAATTTTGCCAAAACTCATAATTTTTTTATTTATATATTTCTATATATTGTATTATACATTATTCTATCAATATTTTTCAATATAGATCTTTTATTCTTTATTAGCTAAATTTAAGCACATTATTTAATTAATTATTAAATTAAAATTGGCATTCGGGGTGCGAAACCGCAAATAATCAAATAATGTAACCGCTTTCGGTGATTTATCAAATTACGTGTGCATAAAATATGAAAATAGCAATATATCTATATATTATGTGTTACGTTTGAGTTCACATTTACAATCGGCGGCGGCTGATCGTGATTGCAAAATATAAAACATTCGATTTACGATTAGAGGGCTGAAAAGCGGGTGGAACATGCCGGGCGCCGGCTGTAAAACCATAAAACGCGCGAGAATGATTAATGCCAGTCGATATTTTCCTACTTGCATTAGCGGCGCACGGGCGTTATGCGATTTATTCATTGGCACGCAAAATATCATAATTAATTGACACTAATTAGTCAGTTTTAGTGCCAACGCAATTTGCCGAGCGAAATTTGCGAAAACCAATGGCTTTTCCTACTTACACTCGTAATTATCTATAATTTAATTATAATGCGTTATTTTTGTCGCGCATGCGCGTTAAAAAATAACCACGATGCATGATTCTGTTGGATGACTCAATTTTTTTTCGATTTTGAATTGTGTCGATATCGAGTACGTGTTGCTTTTAAGTTGGATGTATTGTCAACGCGCAGAATAAATGTCTCGGCACACGCCGGCGTATAAAAACATAATCCGGAAGTTGATTGATGTGTACACTTGTATTTAGAAGCAGCCCGGTGCCGACTCCATCAATCAATCGGCAATAAAACAAAAAAGTCGGACGTGTAGAAAACGTAAAACGTAAAATGTAAAACGCAAAACGTGAAACGTAAAACTCGATGACAAATCCATTTGCACTTTGGACACACTGTATTTTAATCGTCGAGTTAAAAATTTGTCGATTCATCGAATTTTATTGTGTTTTTAAGCTTTGAATTTTTACATGTAATTTTCCCGATGACAAGTAGTTTTTTTTTGTTGCGCATGCGCGAGAAAAATATCACCCGCTGCTTTTTTTGGAATACATTGTCACATTATACACTACAATTGTTCGTAATGCATGCACATTTCTCTAGTTTTTGCGCGTGTGTACCTTTCGTTTAGGAAACAGTCGTGCAGAAAGCAATTTCGTTGGGGGATGCTCCTGGCATAATATTAGAAACACCCACATATATATACACAGAGTCTCACTGCAGGCAGTGCGCGTTGTTGTTTAGGGCTCGTTGATGGTGTCTATAAATTTCGGGCGCGCAACAATAGACTGACACGTTTGTGCGCGCAAGGAACAACACAAACTCTAAGGGTTGCTTTCTGTTTTGCACGACAGCGACACGCAGACTTGTCTCGCGTCGCCCTCGAAAGATGTATAACCCTGCGACGTTTAATTCTCCGTCTTCCTTTTAGCAGGATTTTTTTCCAGCGCGAGGGTTGCGGCGTCTTTAAGGGTGAGTCTGGTGCGTAATCAACCGCGGAGACACATTATTTACAGACTAATGTCCGAGAATGACCTCAATGTGTTTAACCGCTATTTGTTCACAAATAAACGTTCTACAAAAAAAATGCCCGGCGCATCCACACTATAAAAACCTATGTTAATTTTTGAAAAATTCATATAAATTATTCTAAACATCACAATTGTGGTTAGAAATATTCTAGTTAAAGTTAAGTATGCAAACAATGTCTTGTTTCAACTTAAACTATTACCCCGGTCGTTTCAACCCTTGTAAAGTGCATCGTGTGCAAGGTTAAACTGCACTCGGAAGAAAATTTGACTTCGCGCGGACGCGTCACGAGCTTTCCCTTAAAATAACACACATAAACACTGAAGCACTACGTCGCATGCTTGATGAGTAAACATCCCCTTGGTGGAGTCGAGTAGAGGACAGTAAGAACAACGAGCATCACGGTGATGCACACGGAAAGCTCGCAAAGCTCGCCGGGCTGAGAAAGCACGGAATCTTGGCCGAAGTTGCCTTAACCGAGATTGCATTTTGCCATGCACCACTATTTTCCAGGAGGAGCGTTGCAAGAAAGACCGGATGTGGTTTTGCTACGAAACGATACGAGGTCGAGCCGTGTCTTTATTTTACATTCATCCGGGGTGCTGCATGTTTAGCCTGGTGGTGCAAGCATCTAAAAAAACGTCTAATGTACACATACAATGTGTCTAAAATTAGAAACTTATTTTTTTATCGTTTAAAATTAACTACTCAATAATGACGTCATCAACATAACCTAGTTTCTATGTTTTGTGTATAAAAATTGCAAAAAAATGTTTTTTTAGCAAATGAACAAGAAATATTAAGAAAAAATGTTTTACTTATTTTTTTATTGTGTAAGGTGTAGTACTCAACAATGACGTCATGAACATAACCATGTTTCTATGCTTTGAGTGTAAAAATTTAAAAAAGTGTTTTTATTTCAACCTAACACACAATTTCAGCTAAAAAATATGTTTTTCTACAAAAAAATTACTACTGTCAACATACAATGTGTTTAAAGAGCTACTCAATAGTGACGTCAATAACATAACCAAGTTTTTATTTTTTAAGTGTAAAATTTGCAAAAATGTGTTTTTTTTTTCAATTTAACGAATAATTTTGAAATAATATTGTTACTTTACAAAAAATAGTTTTTAGTGTTAACATACAATGTGTTTAAAGAGCTACTCAATAATGACGTCACTAACATAACCAAGTTTTTATGCTTTAAGTGTAAAAATTGCAAAAAACGAGTTTTTTCCAACTTAACGAATAATTTGAGCAAAAAATATGTTACTTTTAAAAAAAATAATTTCTAGTGTATATATACAATGTGTTTTGAGAACTACTTTGTAATGACGTCACTAATATAACCAAGTTTTTATGTTTTAAGTGTAAAATTTGCAAAAAAACGATTTTTTTTCCAACTTAACGAATAATTTGAGCAAAAAATATGTTATTATATGTAATAAAAGTTTTCTAATTTATTCAAGCAGTGTCATATGTCAAAGTCATAAATATGTAGTGGTGGTAATGGCAGTGGTAGTGGTTGTGTTCAATTACCTGCCTGAATAAACATAAATGCAAGCTCGCCGGCTCTCGGCGCGGCACATCATGAAAGTTCTTCATTTACTCGCATATTCATGCTTTTAGTGAACGCACAGGCAGCCCACCGCACAGCATCGCAATGGCCGCCGATGATGAACGAGCGCACATAAATTTTTACGATTTTATTATGCTCTCGGCGGCGCATTTAGCCTCCGCGCGAGATTTTTCATCCGCACAACTTCATTCCGTAATTAAATACTCCATCCGTTCGCTAATCCAATGAATAATTATCTATCACAATATTTTTTTAGATACGCAGCAATTTAGGTTATGCGAGGTTATTTTTACGCGGCAAAGTTTTCAAATTAATTTGCGCAGCAATTTGAATTGTTGTTCTTGAACAAACACTTCCGGCTTGCCGGTTTAAATAATAAATGAATTGCTTTGCCATCGAGTGTTTGCTGAATAAGCAGCGTCGGGGTACAGGTGGAGCAACAACAAACAAACAAAATGAATATGTTTGCAGTTTCAGTGGGAAAATAAGAATCAAACAACATAGACTTACCCGTTGAGCAACATCTCGCCACGGTTCTTCACCCAGTAGTTGATAGTGTTCGGGAAGGCTTCCACGTAACACTCCAGCATGACATCCGTGTTCAAAGGAGCGCCCAGTAACTGATTGGGCACTTTAATTACAGGAGCAACTAAAACAGAAAAAAACACAATTTACAAACAGTAATGTTTTTTATTTTATGTTTGTAACATGATCCTTGACCCACTTCCGGTTTTATGTTCGCTGGGAATTAACACATGGCGATAAACTAATTAGAAACTTATCTGGAACAGAAGTTGGTCGTGTACTTAATTCCGCATTCAAAAGGCCTAAACCGGAAAACCGGAAAAAACTCCAATATAAGTCCGGTTGAGTCACAAAACAAAACAAAGACTAGTCCATGGGATGGTCACTGCGCGCAGTACTAGTTTGACGTTGCAAACAAAAGACCTAACCTCCAAAATGGAAGAGTTCCACTCACGCGACCGATAACGAGTTCCTGGAAACTTGCCCGGCTGCAGATTGCGAACTCCGATACACAACAAGTAGTAGGACGGCAAACGTCTGCACTCCATAGTCCTTTAAGGGAGTGGAATGGGGGCGGTTTGAAGGGTTTAGCAATGGGTGCCTCGAGCGGAACCAAATCGAAGCGAACCGAACCAAATCTTGGACGTTTATCGAGAAACTTGCGAATTTTACTTATCTAACCACCACCCCTGCGAGAAACTACCCTTAAACCCCAACCACTCCTAAATACCAACACACCAACATCAACTTATTGTATTATCTTCTTCTATGTAGTGTTAGTTAGCTATTATTTGAGAACCGTCGACACTTATAACCGGAAGTATAGAATAACCGGAAGTACGGTGCGGAATACAACGAATACAAAACCGAAAGTTTCAGTTGGAGTTAAGTTGGATGTAATTAGATAGTGAATTACACTTTGTAGAGTAAAATAATCCTCATTATACACACGAGTGTATAAAGTATAGTATTTTGTGTTATATGTTATAAATTGCAGTTTGATCACTCTATGAACTTTCTGCAGTGTGTATGTGTATGGAGAGTAGCGTAATTAGAAACCCTCGGAAGACGTTGTGTGTTGGCTGCGAGCTTCCGCAATTTGCATAAAATATCGGCGCGCAAATGTAGCCAGCTGCGTTTGGTGGCGTTGCACCCCGCGTGTATTTATTTACACGCGTAACAAGCCGGCTGTCTTAATGCGCAAACAGGCGCGTATATCATCGACAAAGGAGGCAGTTACAACTCACAACTCATCCCCTGCTGTGTGCGAGCATGGCTAAGGGTGTGTACTTACAATTCACGTTCAATAAGATGCGCTTGCTGACGGCGGGCGGCACGTCGTTGCTGGCGATGCACAAGTACGCGCCCATCTGCTTGCGATCCAATCTCCAAAAGTACAAATTGCTGCCGTTGTACGTATCAACTGCAACAGACACACATACATGAGGGGAGTATTAGTCTAAAGTCGGGCGGCGTTTGTTGCAGCCTGTTGAAATACGTGTTTTGGTACGTTTTGAGTTTAATTGTGTCGCAAAACGGCACGATGGCTAAATATCACAATGGAATAATAGAGGAATTGTGAAGCGGACAAACGGAATGTTTGTTTTGCTTGTTATTGAACATTAAATTTTACTAAAATAATATTTACGTAAAAAAAAATTTGAAAAAGTTTTTTTGTCATAAAAATTTTTTGGTTAAATATTTTTGAAATTTTAAAAGATATTTTGAGTTTTGGGATAAAAAGGAGTCTAATAAATTAAGAATCATAAAAATCGGACAAGGCGTTCTTGAATTCTGAATATAAATTTAATAGCAGAATTTTTTTTTTTAGTATTTTGCACATAACTTTTTTTTCTTCGAATATTATTTAATTTTTTAAGGTTATTCTGATAGTTAAGACTAAGGCGCACCTAGTAATTAAAAAATCATAAAAATCGGGCAAGGCGTTCTTGAATTCTAAATATAGATTTAATTGCAGAATTTTCTTATTTGAGTATTTTGCTCATAACTTTTTTTTCTTTGAATATTTTTAAAATTTTTAAAGTTATTCTGATATTTATGACCAAAATAAACCTAATTATTCAAAAATCATGAAAATCGGACAAGGCGTTCTTGAATTCGGAATATAAATTTTTTTTATTTGAGTATTTTGCTTATAACTTTTTCTTCTTTGAATATTATTTAATTTTTTAAAATTATTCTAATAGTTAAGATCAAGGCGCAGCTAATAATTAAAAAATCATGAAAATCGGACTAGGCGTTCTTGAATTCTAAATATAAATTTAGACTTAGAAAAATTTTTTTGTAAAAAAATGATTTTTTGCAAAACTCAATTAAAAAGAATATAAAATGTGGTTCAATAAATAAAAAAATCATTAAAATCAAACCCACGGTTCTCCAATTCTAAAAATAAATTTAATTGTAGAAAAACTTTGAAAAAAAAAAATTATTTGAAAAAAATCTATTATAAACATTAAAAATTATGCTTTATTTTGACATTTTCATTGATACTAATAATTTTCCCCATTCTCACATCCTGTTTCCAAGCTTTTTGCAAAACAACCTCACGACAGGATGAGAATGTAGATTGTCGCATTCAAAAAACGTAAAAATGTGTACGATGGCAAAGTGTGTGTATAAAAATATGGTTGGCCCCGGTGTGACGTGATGGTAAATGCATAAGGAACCGGGGACAATTTTTAAAAACGTGCCGCCCGCCACGACAGACAGACACGTGATATGTTACTTTAGGTGCAGGCCATGCGGAATACTCAATGACAGAATTGCCTGCCGACGGTGAAAAATATTCTACACTCTTTCCCCTATTCTACATTCATCCTTCGCGTACCTTTTATACACAATATACAGTGTATTACATCGATATAATTTATATCCAACGCATGCACTAAACAAAAACGTATTTTTAGTTTCTCCTGTATGCAAATATGAAATTTTATAAAAATGACAACCTGTGACAATGGAAATGTCGCAGATATTGCATAGGTATTATTATCATCATCAAAACGACAAGAATGAATGTTTTTATTAATTTTTTTACTAAAAATAAAATGTGTGGGTTTGTATTGTGTGGAGGCGCCGGGTAAAATTGTTACCTTTAACAGCATCGCGATTTCCTCGACGTAGAATAATCGGATGGCCATCCTCACGCCTCCAAGTGATTCTAGGAGTAGGATGACCAGTTGCTCGACACCATAGGGTGGCATTTTCACCCTCTGAGACTGAAAGATCACCACTTGTATCGTCGTAGATAATATCCGGCGGTACTGCAATAGAAAAAAAGACACTAATAAGACAAAATTACGAAATGATTGCATATTATTTATTCGCTTTGTGTATTTTATGCTCTTTGAGTACGTTTTGGTGGAGGCGCCTGGCAATGACCGCCACAAACGCGGAAATAAAAGAATTTTGCACTGCGTGTTCAAAGGACCCGAGAATATGCTACAACATAATTAAACAAATGAATTATTTGTTTGACTTGCTTTGTGAATACTTGCACAAGGGGTGAATTAACAAATATGTCAAATATGTAATTCAAAATGTAAATATTCATCCACACACTGAAAAAAATTCACTTTTCATGTATTTGAGTTAAAATGATAAATATTCATTCATCACATCCGGAATCCGGTTAGTTGGTAATGGTAACGTACCACCGTGAGTCCAGTGCTTGGGATAAAGGGGTTAGAAAGGGTGGGGGGCGTAATTTGCACATTATTTATTAATGGCGCAATTCAGGACGTTTAAATACTTAGCGCTTGCCGGTATTAAATTTAACAACTTTGCAGGTGCTCGCAGGACGCGTGCGGAATGTTAACAATACTCAAATGAGGGTGGTTTATCTAAGGACACAAAATGTCTGCGTAAATTACCTATAAACCACTAAACAACATCACAAAACATAAAAATAACTTAGATATAAATACAACATAATATTTCTAAGTTTATAGTGAAGACGAGTTGAATTTTGAGGTTATATTATTTATTTCTGTATTTTAAGGGCGGTTTTAGGTCAGATTTGTGCGGATCGAACACGGGATGCAGAGATAGCGTATTTTAAATCTGCATCGGTACACGATAATGCACTCAGAAGCAAGTGCGGCGTCAAGTCAGCGATAAAATAAACCAAGCGCCATGTTTGTTTGCGAATACACGAGCCGATTATTGTACCCACCTAGCACTAGCACTTAACAGATGGCGTTTTATTGCAGTAGGGAATTTATAGCGTCACATGTTTAAAAATTCATTATATTAATACATTGTCCGGGAAAACAATAAGATACACAATAATTTCGAAGAGTGCAGGTGGATAAAAGTTTCATAAAAGTTTTACGAGTTGCGTGGACCAAATGTTAATTACTAGATGAGCCGTACTAAAATTGTACATTGTTTGTGTAGAGCTTTCGCATCAGTTAAGATATTATTTTACGTGCGTCGTAAAAGTCGCGTTTACTGCGGGTGGGAAATGGGACAAACATCGGGAGAAACGGGTGATATATACCAGGACCTTTGGAATGTCCTCAACAAGGGCGAGAATTTAGTAAAGGGTTTAAAAGGATTAAGAGGAACACTATAGTTGTTAAACTATTATACAAATTTTAATATTTTGGGAATTTTCTGAAAATTTAGACATTTTTTGATTTTCAACCCTTATTTTCAACCCTTTTGAATTTTTTTCTGCAATCAAAAAATATCCTATGTTATTTATTATGGTCTAAACTCTATTTATGATAAATTTTATAAATTTTACATTAATGGTTTTGACGTGATAAAGACACAAACATATTTTTTTGCGTATTTTTACTATAAATCCACAATTATCACGTTTTTTGCACACAATTTTTTAATTAAATATTTTTTAAAAGTTTTATATTTATTTAGCAAAACTGTTTCGCTGTTTGTTTACCAATTAGTTGTGATTCTCTAACAAATGCAGCAAAAACAGTTGTATTTGCACGTGTTTTACTCCAGCGTCAAACAGTAATTCGTGTCTGAATTAAAATTAAACTTTTGCGTTTATCAAAGCGCTGCTTTCTAGTCGAGACTAATTGAAATGAACAAATCTCGAATAACGTGATTTTGTCCTGTTTTGTGTCCAGGCGCGTGGGCTGGTTTTGTTTGAGTATTGTCCAAGTTAGCGCTCGATGAAAAGCTCCGGTTTTATTACTTTCCATGCTCGGATGTTTTCAGCGTTAATGAGCGTACGGAGACGATGCGTAATTAAGCACGAACTACGTGCGCATCGCACAAAGCTGATAGAAAAGTGCAGGGATTAAAAGTTTAGAAATTTTATTTTTTGCATAAAAAAATGTTTTTTTTTTTGTTAATATTTTCAATATTCTCTCGGTCTAAGTACACCCGCACGAGACAAAAACTCGAGGTCCTTTTTTTTTGTGAAGAGAAATGGTTGTTGAAAAGAACGTCGTCTCCTATTGCATAGGGAAGATGTCGATCGAGGGAAAAAATTGGCGCACGCATCGACGCACAGGCCTCGCTTCGACGATATCGCGTTTCGATTTATATGATAATGGCAAAAACGAAGCATCAATTATGCTAATTCGGTGCGTCGGCGGCGGGCGCGCGTTTAAACTAATTTCGTATTATATAGATAAAGAAAGAAACCAAACATAATTACGCGGCCAATGAAAATATTTGCCAAATCCACAAAATGCTAATTTTTCGGAATCGAATGCGGAGCATATTCGAAAGTTTTATCAAGTGGCTTGAATAAAAATACAAATTTCATTAAAATTTATTATGTTTTATAATGTTTAGGTATAAATTCAGTGAAAATAAATTAGAAAAAAGTGTTTTTGGGATTTTTTTAGGAATTTTTAAGTTTTTTGCAAAAAGTTTTGGAAAAAAATTTGTTTTGGGCATTTTCTGAGCTTTTTCTTGATAAATTCGAAAATAATCAAAGCCAAAATAAAACTATAACTTGTTTGCATATATTTTTGCAAAAATAAATTAAAAAAAAAGTTTTTGCGCAATTTTAAAGTTTTTTTGCTAAAAGTTTTGGAAAAAAATTTGTTTTGGGCTTTTTCTGAGCTTTTTCTTGATAAATTCGAAAATATAATCAAGGCAAAAATAAAAGCAAAGTGTGTTTGGGTATAATTTTGCAAAAATAAATTAGAAAAAAAAAACTTTTTCAGCAATTTTAATTTTTTTTTTTGCAAAAAATGGAAAAAAATGTGTTTTGTCAACTTTTTGACTTTTTTTTTGATAAATTAGAACACAATCTTTGCCAAAATAACACCCAAACCTGTTTTAGTATAATTTTCTTAAAATAAATGAAAAAACATTTTTTTTCTGGAATTTTTTCGTTTTTTGTGATTTTTTTTGCAAAAAAAAATCGAAAAAATAAAATTTAAAGCTATTTTTGTCATTTTGAAACTTTTTTTATAACCTATTAAATCCTTATTTCTAAAAACAAACCCAAAACCCAAAATTTCCCTTTTAGCCAACCCTGACGTCAGAGTTTATAGAACAGAGGTTTCTCCTGTTCCAAATCCACTTTAGCGTTGCCAGAACCAATCTATTCACATAAATATGATGAGTGTCGGCAAAAAGAACAAATGTCGCGCAAAGAAAATTTCGACGACTATGGGAAAACTAAGGTTGGCGGGCCGGGGGCGGTTGGAATAGAACGGATAGGCGCGTGTGGCCTAATCCTCGATGATTTACTATGGCGGCAAGTATAATTCCGTGGACACGTATGAATGTATGGAAATGCGCGTGCACACGTGTGCACACGTGGCGGGCACATCTCGCACCCAGCGCGATGTACACGCCTGGAAATCTTGAAATATCTTTCGGGCGCGCTTTTTTTATCGCATGAAATATGTGCCTCTATACGGGCAGCTGAACATTTTTATCATATCGCATGCGAGCTCGCGTTCCACCTCTGTACCCACACCCCCCGTGTGCGCCGTATCTATGAATATTTAATTTCACACTCGTGGGGTGTAAGAGCCGGCGGGGTAATTTGTGACTTGAAAAAATGAATAGGTATCTACCAAGAAATTAAAAAAAAAACAATTTTTACGTCGATTTTAAGAAAAAAAAATTTTTTTTTGGAAAATTTAGACATTTTTTGACTTTCAACCCTAATTTTCACCCCTTTAGAATTTTTTTCTGCAATCAAAAAATATCCTATGTTATTTATTATGGTCCAAACTCTATTTATAATAAATTTTATAAATTTTACTTTAATGGTTTTGGCGTGATAAAGGCACAAACATATTTTTTGCGTATTTTTACTGTAAATCCACAATTTTCAAGTTTTTTGCACACAATTTTTTAATTAAATATTTTTTTTAAATGAATAGGTATCTACCAAGAAGTTAAGAAAAAACAATTTTTACGTCGATTTTAGAAAAAAAAAACAATTTTTTTTAAACTGATAACTTTAAGGGTAGTTTTTCACCCGTTACCCCTCAAACAGCTTCCTTTCACCAATCTACGATCTACACCGTCTTCTTATCACGGGTTTATGTTTGCGCAGCTTTTGTGCTTAGAAAAAATTACATTTCTAAACAACCCTTAGGAAAATTGATTTTTTTCCCTCACAAAGTGAACAAAGATGTTGAATTTAATTAATCCACCCTTAAGAAAACACTGTAATTATGAAAATTACACACGTTTACATTACAACACATCAAAATACAAACGCTGGCATGTTAATGAGTGTAATTTACACGATAAAAACGAGAAAAATTAAAAACTACCCCTAATTATTCAATTACGGTGGAAAAATAATGTTTTGTTGACAGCTTCCCCAATTGCAATTGAATGCAAAACTGACGTAATTGGAAAATGCAATTAGGCGTGCAATCGTAATTGGCAATTTTCCATTCGTACGCACGCGTGTAATACCGGCGCCTCCACCATGGGAAAATAGAAAAATTCCGTAATCGATTACTGCATATTGCATTTTTGTGCGGTTGAAGTTTTATACGTTTTATAACAAAATCATTAGCGTTGTGGGATGTTTCTGTTGTTTACCTGTCGCCCCGGTAATTTCTGCGTTCCGTGCGTGGGTTTAACGCTAGTACATCACGATGACAAATTGCCGTCAGTCGTTGTTTTTTTCTGTCTTATTTTTTTCCGGCTGTGTGCGCGCAAACAGTGCCATTTGTAGCGTGTCCGTCATGCGCAATTATTAACAATACAGCTTTGCCCGCGCCGCCCCCGCCGAGACATGACGTGTCTGCGTGCGCGTGCAATTTGTAAATGTTTGCGAAAGGTTCTCAAACATTCACGA